ATGACAACAGCGGCTGCATTTCAAAATGTATTTCATTTGCTATTTAGTTAATTGGAACATCCTGATGTTGTGAAAGGTGCTATATATGTGCAAGTCTGTTTTTTTAATGCTATTAGTGGGGTCTTGCTACATGCAGGGCTATGGTGTTTGTCTGTGAGGGGAATTTTAACTGACCTGAGAGTGTGCGCATGGAAATCATGGTTCCCACCCGTATGGTGTCCCCAGCAGGCTCTGTGTGGAAGTTAGCCAGATTGATGAGTTGGTTTATGTGAGGTGGCTTGGGAATTAGGTGCAATCTCACATTAGAGTTTAAATGGTAAATTGTAATTCAAAGTTCCTCTCTAGTTTCCTCTGTTGTCTGGAATTTTCATCTAATTATTTCAGTCGTGGAGGGGACAGTTGGCAGGTGACCACAGGACAAGGTAACAAAATAAACAATTCAGCTTTAAGTCCATTCATTATTGAAGCCTATTACAGGCTGATGTACAACTGAGGCAATACAATCTAGAACGATCTAGTCCGTTGCTATCCTGGTAATTAATTAGTGTGAAAACTCTTAAGTCCATTCACTCTTTAAAACCTTTCAGATATCCACCTTTTATTCCTCCCCCAACATCTCACTTTCCCATCCCCAAGTACCTCATTTCCCATTGCCCCTCTCCTCACCTCATTCCCACCCCTTATTGCCCCACACCTCACTGCCCCTCACCACCTTCCCATCTTTTACCTCCCCACCCTTCACCCCACATCCTTCAGCTAATTGGATTTAAATTAATGCCCTCATCCTCATTTCAAATACCTCCATTTCCCCCCCTCTCCTGACTCCATATCTGCCTCAATTGTCTCCTAGAGCTATGAGTAACCAATGGATTGTCCTGCTGTTCTTATCCCAATTCCTTTATGTTTGGGAGAGAGCTGGGAACACGGAATTGAACCTCCCTTCCCCAGTAGTGACATTAGTGCTGTCAGAAAGAATGGGATGAACGGGATTAGGGAAGTAACAAAAACAAATCATCTGAAGAGACATCCTGGAAACTCATTGCGCAATGTGTGGACTTAGAAATGAAGGACTGAACACGGCACCTGTCTGTTCCATTGCAACTACAGTATATTGCTAAAACATTTCTCCAATTAAACCTTATATTTTTAATAAGTAGTGAATTAATAAAATCAATAAGTCAGTCTGTAGATCACAGAGTAAATGCACACGCAAAAGAATGGAATGAGAGAAAGCTTTGACCAAATAGGCTACATACCAGAATTCAGAGGTGCATATTTCACCTTTTGACTTCCCACATCCTGTCCACCCTCTACACGGTGCAAGTCAGGAGTGTGATGGAATATTCCCCACTTACCTAGATAAGTGCAGCTCCAACAATGTGCAAGAAGCTCAACACCATGTAGTCAAAGCAGCCCAGTTGATTGACATTCCATTCACAACCATTCAGTAAACATTCACTCGCTCCATCACTGATACATAGTGGCAGCAGTGTTTAAAGTGTGTTGCGGTTATTCACCCAGACTCCTTTGAGAGAACTTTCTGAACCCATGACCTCTATCATCTGGAATGACAAGGCCAGCAGATACATGGGAAGCCCAACAACTGCAAGTTCCCCTCCAAGCCACCAACATCCTGACTTGGAAATATATCACCATTCCTTCACTGTGGCTGTGTCAGACTCTCTTCCTAACAACACTGTGGGTAAATTAACACCATATGGTTCAAGAAGGCAGCTCACCATCACCTTCTCAATTAAAGAAAAATGTTGCATTTATCTATAGACTCCAAGCTAGCCAGTCTTCTCCCTTTGAGATAGTTACATGACATTAAGACATGTGACATTTGTTTTGAAGATACTCGCTTAACGTATAGTCACTTTTTCTCTGTGTCATGGAATCAGTTAAGTGTCTTCAGTCAATCAACAATGGGTGTGTAATGTACGGTAACATCAGTAAGTGCAAAACATGGACTATGCATGATATTGTAGCTGTGTAAATAGTTAGTTTTGTTAATAAACTTCAAGATATCTGGCTCACCAAAAACTGACTCCTTGTCTTGTATTTTATCTGGGCTGACATCAAAAAACCACAAAGTACACCAAGCACTCGCCACATATTTCATAAACAAATGAGGCAAGAACTGCTTAGAGCTTTCATGGGGTAACACTTTGAACCCCCTCTCCAGTTTCTGCTCATCAAGAAATAAGGAAGACATTTATGAGCTGGAGGCAGGGCAGTGAAGAGTTAAAAGGCTGATTCCACATGTCCTCTGATGTCTGTGTTATGAGAAACCAGGGTTAAAAGGAAATTTTTCTTCAGAAAAAGAGAAGCAGGAGCATAAAGCTTTAGAATCAAAGTAACTAAAGTCATGGCGAAGTGAGATGAACATTTCTCTGGATGGATGTTAAATGGATTTCCTTTGCCATAATTAACACCGGATTTTGTGAGATGACAGTCTCGGCAATATTTGGTCTCAAAAATTTGCTCCAAAGCATAACTGTTTAAACTTTCAGTCAGTCTGAAAATAAAGTGGATTTAATGTGGATTGACCTTTTGTTCACTGCAGGAAATATTGGTTCGTTCAATGTTGCCATGGTTGCAACACCAGGGATTGCTTGATTGACTAATTTAAATTGGACAGTAGGACCACTTGTTAGAATGACCTAATGTTATGACAGGGAGTGCTATTGTATCAGCATTGTTTGTGTGTCAATCTTTAGGATTCCTAAGGATCCAATACCCAATACGAAGGAAACAAGGCAGGTTTGTTCGATTTTAAATAAAGCCTTAATGCAGTGACAATCCACATTTCTGGTCACTTCACAAATATCACCTCCTGGACTTCCTGATTACAGTCTAATAACTAACTCATTGCTGAGGGACTGGCAACCAATTGGCTGTCTACAGATACTCATGTTTCAACATTGACATCTATTGAATTAAGGGAATATCTCAAAATCCCTGTGCTATGTTGTTTCATTGGGAATGTTGTTAAACGTTTTCTGAAGGACCAAGTTCAGATCAGTGTCTTGCTCAGGGGCAGTAAAGCAGCTCCATCATTCAAGTTTACTCTGTTAAGTAGCAGTGGGAAATTAATCAGCAAGGCCCATGGCATAACTCATTTTCCCAGGAAGAAAAGCTTGCATTTCAATTGCACCTTTTACGATCTCAGGACATCATAAGCTGCTTCCCAGCCAATGTAATACTTTTTGAAGTGTAGACACTGTTCCAATGTAGTCAACCTATAAATCCTTGTTATGCACTTCTAACCGGTAGTAAGAGTGGGACAGTCTTGTGGTCAGCCAGAAATGTGTAGTAACCTGCAGGACACCAGCATTCCCATGTTAAGAGACTCCACCCACAGGTTCTTAATTGCCATGAGCACACGTCAGCCAGCCGTGTTCTGAGGAATAAAAACACACACACACACACGAACACAGTCTCTCTCTCTCACTCACACGCACACGCGCGCACACACACACACACACACAGTCTCTCACACAGACACACACACACTCACACTCACACAAACACATGCAAACACACACGCCGGAAACATTCGATACATTTAATGTCTTCATCAGAATAATGCCATAAGTTATTTTAAGTTAGCTGAAAAGGTTGAATGGGGCCTTAATGAACATCTCATCTGAACAATAGCACATCCATCAGAATTCTCTCAGTAGAAGAGGAGTTCTAGCTGCAATGGTGTGCTTAAGACTCTGATAGTAGCAATAGTACTAAGTGATCCTTGTCCTTGTTCACTTTGCTTTCACTGTTTTGGAAACGAAGAACGGTTTACTGTAAACTGAAGCTTGTGGGTGGTAATTCAGATGCAGGGAGCAGCTCAGGTAGGCGGTAATTTAAAAAAAATACTTGTTTCATATTCATTGAAAAGCACTTTGTTTCTTTCGAAGAAGTTGAACACCAGCAAAAATGAAACATGTAAGATTGCTATGTCCACCATGTTGACTATTCTTCAATGTCTTCAAGATGCATTATGAATTATATATTTTACTCAATCAAGTGGAATCTTACAACAGGCAAGCAGGTTATTCGACTCATCAGGTTTGAACTAGCTCTTTCAAAGGGATAACTAATTAATTCTACCCTTTTTGTTTCTCCCTGCATTTCAAGCGTATTTTCATTCCCCTTTCCAAAGTTACTGAATTTGCTTCCATCACCCTTTCAAGCAACACAGTCCAGTTCATAACAACTCATAAGTTTAGCACTTAGAAGCAATGCTTTCCTTTCATGAGCCAGTCACTCTGAAGGGCTTGGAAGAGGATTGGGTTCCACATGCTGTGAACCCCTCCAAGCTCATCCACAGACTCAGTTAGTTGTAAGTTCTGCAACAAGTTGCACTGGAGTCCCTAGCTTGAAACAGCACACAGTTTAAGAAACAAAAATCATAAAAACGAGAAACAGATCTGGTGATAATTAACTGTCTATTCCGTGTTTCTGTAGATTCAGACTGATCTGGTTGTATCAATCCCAGCCATTCTTTTTAATTTGTTGTTAATTTTGATTTTCAGCATTTGCAGTTTTTCTTTTGATCTTTTTTTTCTCTCTGTGATGTTCAAGCACTTCTGCTAAGAAAGGCTTTACCACACTATCAGGCAGCCTGCCTACCCTGTGCTAACTCTGAGGAAAGAAGAAGAGTTTAATAAAGCTTCACTCCCCTGCTGTCTATCCATAGCCCTACAGATTCTTCCTTCTCAAATATTCACCCAATTCTCATTTGAAAATGACAAGTGAACCCGCTTCCTCCACCCTCTCAGACAGTGGGTTTGACTCTCTCTGTGCAGTTTTGAATCGAGCCTGTATCTACTTAAGGAGTGGCTTTATTCCAATTCTCCCAGTAAAAGGACCTCATATAAAAAAATACCTTCCAGTCAGAATTTTCCGCTAACGGCATTAAGTACGATTGTCTTTAACTGACACAGATCATATTGATGCATCCCAGTTTCATTCCACGCAAGCAGTTTTATTCTCCTTACCTTGGTGGGATTCCAGCTAACTTTCAGCGTACAGTTGACTGCAAGTTTTTTGCTGTCGGACAGAGATGCTTTTATCCTCTCTTGAGTTGCAAGTTGAAAGCTATTATTGAATTCACTGCAGTCCCTATGCGGATAGTTCTGACCAATCGGTGTACGAGGTTCGCCACATCCCTCAGACTGGCTACATCAGTTGCAACTTAATGAAGCGTAAATGATACAGCAAATTCTTTTAAAGTACCCATCATCTCGCTGGAACCTAAGTAGAACATCACAGAGCTGTAAAACTGTGACGATCTAGATTGTCTCTGATGAATATAACACAATAGACTTGAAGGTTAATTATATTATCTGTGGCATGTCTTCCATTATTGTTGGCAGACCTAATATCCGTTGCACAACAATAACCTCTTACATCTGCTCAGTTCTTGTATACCTCACGTGTCTCCTGAAAAAGCTGAACCAAGTGGAGGAACAAACCTATCCAAATAATTGGTTGGGCCCATGTTTGGAAATTTGCATCCGGCTTCATCAAACCTACCTTAGAGTAAGGAGAGAGCGCAGGAGGGATTCACGATGAGGTGAGCAGATTTAGATGTCACGGAAGGCTATGGAAACTGGGGCTCATCGCTTTAGAACGCTACCGGAGGTGCTCACAATTAGGAGGATCTTTGCAAAGGGAAAGTGGTGTGAAGGTTCATGTATAGATGGGTACAGTGGTCTGAGTGTTTAGGTGCTGTTGGGTACAGTGATGCAAGGGTTTAGGCATAGTTGGGTACAGTGGTGCGAGGTATTGGGTACAATGGTGTGACTGTTTAGGTACAGTTGGGCACAGTGGGGCAAGAATTTGTGTTTGGCAAAGTGCCAGAGTGGGGGGGTGAATACATTAGGTTCTGGGTGGGGAGGGCGGGTGTCAGGTCCATTGGGTTGGGTCTGTCCAGTCTGGTGGCAGGAGCGTGTTGAGTCTTGGGCGGGGTGGGGGGGGCGGGGAGGTTGGGGGGGTAGTGGTGAGAGTTTCTGGTTCTAATGGGGAGAGGAGTTGGGTACCAGCACTGGTGGTGGAGGAGGATATGGGTGTCAGGACATTGGTGAGGCTTAGGGCGCTGGCAGGTAACTACACTGGGAGAGGTGTAGTTGAGAAGGTGGGTTAAGTTGAAGGGAGCAATCAGTTGAATAGTTACTCAGGAGTTATACTTAGGTATTTAACCTTCTACCTTTTCCTTGACAACTGTTTACCTCACTGTAGTGGGACCCTCAGAATTTTCTGATTGAAATGGATACTTCTGGGGGACTCCATGCGTAGAGCATCTGCCCACCAGAATCTCCAAGTTCTGGGGTAATTTCCTCAGAGTCTGTTATGTCAGGAATTCCACAGAGGTCCAATGTGCAATTCCCTACAGAAACAGCTGTGTGGCCCTGGAAAGTCCTTAAGGAGAACAAGCAGGGAAAACTCTTTCCACTGCTTGGAGATTTTGGCACTTGAGACATAATAGATAGACCTTACAGGAATGAGATTAGAAGACACTTTGACAGAAAAAGAGTAATTGAAGCTTAGAGCTCTCTCATGAGGCTAGATCAACTATTGAGTTTAAATCTGAGATTGATGTCTCCTTATTCATGAGAAGTAGTCAGGGATAGCGGGGAAAGAGTTTAGAGTAAGGTCAAAGACCAGCTACGATCTCACTTAATAGCGGAAGTGGGCTTGTGGAGCAGAATGCCTTTTAATTCTTCCTGTATCCCTATCCTGTATCACACAAACACACACACACACACACACACAC